CATGCGCAGTGGGAGGGGCGGGTCCACGTGGGCTGTAGCCTGAGTCCCTGCTTAGGGTCAATAGGGGCACGGCTTTCATTTCTAACCTGATTTAGAAATATCAGTGCCCTGCTTAACTGTAATTAGTTGATCTAGTATGTGTAAAGTTAAGGTGGTCATAGGCTATATGAATTGTAAACGTGGGAAAGAAAGTGGTGTTTCATTAAATAAGAGGGTGGAAATACAGTACCTGGAGGGATTTCGTTTTATGTTTAGCGAAAAGAAACAGATGTGCTGAAAGATTTAATGGACTGTGATGTAAATGAGATATGGGGGAATGTGATGCTGAAGAAATTTTGTTGGGAAGGGAGATACAAGATGATGGTGTTTTATGTTTGTGTAAAGTATTTTCACGGGTGTAGGTGATGGTTGTGTTGAGTTGTTTGAGGGTTTGCACAGGTTATTTTGATATTTTAGACTTTATTAATTAAAAAAAAATCTGTGCCATGCTTAGCAGTTTTATATCAGTTATCGTAGACCCATGAGTTTGATCTTCTATCGTAGAATATTGTATTTCGCCTCCATCAAGGGAAAAAAAAAAAGCGTCCATAATGAAAGTGAGAAAATCAGTTCAGGCAATTATTACCATCATCACTTTAATCTGTTGACTGCGTTATTAGGAGAGCAGACTTAAAAAGCTAAAATATTCTGCTGAGATGCAGTTAATAGTGGCCATCTGCCATCTGCAATCGTAATTCTGAGTTACAGAAGGCAACGAACGCTCGGTGCCTTGTTGTTAGCACATCACAGTCCTGCATTATCTTTACGAAGTGGTGGTCTCCTTTCATTAGTTTGTGTTGCACGTATCAAAACTATGTCAATAGCTACAGGTTTGGGTCCCGACTCGCTCATCGTTTTCTGCAGTGCTGTTTCATTAAGGTGGTTGTGTAACCTAGCCCTCGACGTCCTGGCCCATCCCGTCATTTTTTCTGTAACAGAATTCAGTATCCGAGGACGTTGTGGAGCTCGGTCCACAAGAGGGCGCCATAAGATCATTGTGGCTTCTCCGATCCAAGAGAAAAACCATCCAAAATGTTTTTAATGTATTTACCCAGAAGAGCACAACTCCAGTGTAGACTCTAATCTTTCAGGTAAAGTTCTGCTTCAATGCCCAGTCTCAGACTGAACCTGAAGGATAATTCATTTGCTAAGGAACTGAAAGCTTCATGGCATAGAATTAAGGCCCCTGTCCTGCAGGCTGCTCTGTGCAGCTAGAGCCATCCTCTGGACAGCATTTCATTGATTTAAGTGATCTCTGCATAGGCCAGCGGTTCTCATCAGCCTTTTTAGACTCCAGGCACCCTCATTAGACTCCAAGTCCCTTTCAGGAAATGTCAGCTCATAGGTTTCACTCATTTCTTGACTGCAGAAAAATAATAGAATGGTTCTTCTGTTGCAAAGAAAGGAGAAGGACCAAACAATGTTTCCAACATTGTGGATTCCCATTCAAATCTCTAGGTTTGTCTTGTGAATCACATTTGCACACCTAACAGTGCTAAGATGTTGTAGCACCCTTGAAAGAATCTCAGTGGTTGAGAAGCACGGGCGTAGGCCAAACAATTTGAAATATCAGGCCCCACTCGTTCCATTCTTTCCCTCTAACAAGAAGGCCATCGTCCTTAGTGTTAAATATTACTTTGGTAAAATAGTCCAAGATAGAGAGTGAGCCCTGATGAGGAAAATCCTAACGAGGAATGTAAAGGAGGGAGACCATTATCTAGTGTTTTGAACAGGAGGCTGGACTTGCAGAATGCAGTGATCTTCCTGACTCGCTTATTGAGATACTTCAGATTACTTACTCTTTTCATACCCTTGTTTGCCCCATTCATAAAATGGATCTAATTATACTTGTGGTTGAACTATGCAAGTGATTTGAATGTCCAATTCTCATTCGTTTTCATGAGATCTGGACAACAAAACCCATTAGATGGCTTAAAAAGAACCAAGGCCATGTTAATACACAAGAGTTGCATGTACCCTAACTTCAATGCATCCTATCAGTAGACATAACTAGGGCACATTGTCACCCATGCCCTCTCCTAGCACCCCTCCCGCATGATGGGAACTAGGAGAGTTATAAAACTGTACCAGTTAAACTGTTTTTCTGTGCGGGTTGCATAGAAGGATCCCCAGTTTGCTTGGCAGTGTATTCTATACCATCAAAAAGTTGTTTTTTCTGAAATAGGCTAAGCAAAGCACTCTTGCATTAAGCAAGTATATTTAATATTACTGACATCATAACTAAATTTATAGCAGCAAGAAAGCGCTTCAGGGAGTTAAAATAGTTTTTATTTGTGTTCATGAAGTCGGTTCTTGTACCCACGTGCCTCCAAGTTGAAATATGGTGAGGTAAACAATTGAGAGGATGCAGGTGTTGCTCACAATCGGGTCTCAGTGCTTTGATTTAAGAAACTTCTAGTAACCAGGGATTTAGCTTAATCTGAAAGATAAAACTTAATCTTCTGTCTTAATGCGTGAACTATTTATACTCACTATTCCTGCAATAAAGAATTATACACGTGGAAAAGTAACAAGTGAACTTGCAAAACTGGGAGGACATTTCCAAAGAGTAAGATGTGGGAATAACTATGTACCTAAGTAGATCCAGATAACAAATGGAAACCTTTGTAAATTGATTTTTTTTCCAAGTGCATTGTCCTAAATTATTTTCCATTTTAAAGGATAATGGCAGTTTTATTCAGGGAAGTAGTACCATTCATTTGTGTGATCTAGCAAATACAACCAACCATCCAGCAGAAAAATTGTTTGAGGCAAAAACTCTGCTTATGTAAGCAGTTTTCCTGTCTAATACACAGGTACACAAAGAAATTATAAGAAGTATGTTGAGTGGCTAAAAATAAAAGATCTAAAGTTTCAGTTCAAAGAAAGACGTTATGATTAAGTATATAGAGTACATTATGGTTTCCAGACTATCGTATCAGCAGAAATACATCTGTAAAGCAAAACTACCTTACAAAATAATTATGGGCTTTTCAAATGTTATAAAAGGACATTTCTGTGAGTGGAAATCAAGACCATTTTTTGAGAAAAATTGCTAACTTAAATATGTTTAGTTAACATTTTTATACACAGTGGGCATGTAGACACAAGATGCTGACTGTGCAGTAGCTGAATAATACTGTGCAGTAGCGCATCACAGCACTGTGCAGCGGCGTTACTTAAAAGACATCCTGTGCTACTACACAGTAACTCCAGTTACTGCGAATGTATTTAGTACTTGCTTATACAAGTACTGAATAAATGT